CAGAGTCGAGCAGGCCGGCGATGGCCGACGGCTCGACACAGTGCCCCAGGCCGAAAGAGGCCTGTGGCCAGGGGCAGTGGGTCTGCAACCACCCCCGGGTCCCCCAGCAGGTTGGGCTCGAAAATTTCTGGAGGCACGTGAGGTTGGGCCTCCAGGAATTGGAAAACGCGTGGGAGTTTGTCGGGGAACTCCAGCGCCAGGTTCATGCGCACCTGGGGGAGTTCCTCGATTTTCGCGGCGCCCAAGAGATGCTGGGGGAGTGGGCTCCTGTGGTCCGGCGGCAGCGGGCCTATGGTGAGGCCCTGCTGCGCATAGACCGGGGACCGGAGTCCCCAGCGGCCGCGGACTCTCCGGCGGTTTTACCACCGCCAGCGCCAACAGATAGAGCCGCGGCCAGGACTCCGGCCAGGCCCCCGACGCAGACTCAGGCCAAGAGAGTCTCGGGGGCCACCGGTGCCGGACAGGAGTTCACGGTCCGCGTGGACGGGTCGGTTTCCGACCCTACCGTGGTGGTGCGCATCCGAGGAGGGCGCACATCCGCCACGGTGGGCGGCGTTACGTTTACCGCCGCCCCGGTAGCAGCAGCCACGCCGCCCCATCCACCAGCAGGGAGCCAGAGCCAGGGGACGGAGCCCGGCCTCAGCAGAAGACCGGGCAAGGGCTGCTATATATGCGGCCATCCCGGGATTACCACCACGTCCAAGTGCCCCAACAAGGCGGAGCACTGGCGCTACCCCAGACACAAGGCGCCAGGGGGCTCCGGCAGATGACGTGGGGGAGTGGTGGCCCGGGATGGGCAAATAAAGCGTTATGTTAATAAGGATGGATTGTGTTGATTTCTCTCCTTTCCCAATCCTATCCTTAGGGTCGCGAGTCAATGGGGTAGTTCGATCCGGTAGTTCGAAGCTAGGAGGGGGCTGCAACGATTACCGAAAATCGTTAGACTCGCGCGAGGTTAACGAGCGGCTAAGCGAGAGGATCCGCGTTCGGTTCGCGAGAGAGAGAGAGCGCGTAGGGGCAATGACCGGGAGGGGAGGCTCCGACCGGCAGTATGACTGTGTTACTCAGTCTGTCAGCGTCGCGCTAACCTCCAATTTTCCCGAGTTTCTCGTTTTGCCAGTGACATTGCGAACTTGAGTGCGTGGGTGGGTGAGCAGCAGTAGTGGTAGCAGCAGCTATACCGGCGGCAGCCCTAGCAGCAACAACAGTAGCAGCGATAGCGGCAACAACAACAGTAGCAACAGCAAACGAGGCGGTGCAGCAAGCAGCGGATCAGCTTATTAACAACGTGTTAGTTGGATACGGTTGGCCACAGTATCCTCGTCGTTCTTGCGGTAGGTGCACCTTTTCCCCCTTTCTATTGTTATTACAATTTGCGTGCGATCCCGCGCAGCGAGCGCGAAGAATTTGTTTGTTGCGCGCGAGCGGTTAGTTCGCGGCATCCGTGGTTTTCTCTCTCTCTCATTTTCAGCGTGTCTTGTCATTCACGCGAGCGTGCGTAAGTCTTTCGGCCAAACCCTCGTGTAAATAACTTGCATGAATAAAGTGCATATTAATCGTTACTTTCGAATCAAATAGTCGTTATTTAGTCTTTCCTTTGTCCGGAGGTCGCGTCAGTGTTTATTTACGTTCGATTCGAATTCGCCGGTTGCGTAGCACGAATCGTGCGAATACCGGTAGACGCGAATCGACGACTTAGGTTCCAGCGGCGGACGCACGAGCGCTACTAGCAAGGGGCGACAGCGCCGCCAAGCGGTGAGTTGGGGGAACCCAACTCGGAATAGCGAACAGACTCTGCGCAGGCGCACTCCGAGGCAAGGTAGGTTGCTGTGCTTCGAGCACAGAGATAACAGGGCTTCGTCTAGTCGTAATATAGACACTTTCCAGAGATTATCGACTAAACGGCAGCCTGTTACAATTTTAAAAATAAAAAAATAAAGAATATTATAGTGAAGAAGAAAACAACGAAGCAAATAAGTTGAAAAGCAAATCCCCTCTGATCTTCGTTTACAATGTAGAGAATATCAAACCGTTAAATAATCTACTGAACTTAATAATCAAAGAAAATTACACCTTAAAAGTGATAGAATTAAACAAAATTGAAATTCAGCTAACAACTTCCGAAAAATATTTGCTAATCATTACTGCATTGAAAGAAAGAAACACGCAATTTCACACTTACTAGTGCAAAGAAGAAAAAGGTTTCTAAGTTATATTAAAAAGTATTCACACGTCAATCGACATAGACGAATTAAAAATAGGCATAGAAGAACATAGACATAAAGTATTAAGTATACATAATACAAGGCATCGCATCACAAAACTACCATTGCCGTTATTCACAGTTCAAATTAAACATGACTATAAAGGCCAGGAAATTACAAAGTAAACCGACTATTAAACACGGTAATCAAATTCGACCTGCCGAACGTTAAAAGACTAATTCCTGAATGTTAAAACTGCCAAGAATACGGGCATATAAAAACTATTGTTACAAAAGTGCTCTGTGTGTGTGTGTGTGTATGTGTTTGTGAACAACACTAAACTAAAGAATGTCTAATTAATCAAAAAGTAAAAGAAAAAACATATACAAACTGTAAAGGAAATAACACCACAAATTATAAAGGATGCGTAGTTCGTAAGCAATTATAGCAAAAACTATTTTCTAGACTATGAGAAAAAATGTTAAATGAAAACAGTATTCAAGTTCATCAAAATTCAAATTTAAATGATAACGTCAATAGAGTTCGACCAAATATAACATATGCACAGATAATATAAAAACAAAACATCAGTGTGAGATAGAAATATCAAAACAAACAGTTGTTCAAACAGAGCTAAGTAGACATACTAACGAAGTAAACACAAATAATAAATTCGAACATATGATGAAGCAGCTGATACACAGAATGGATACTATGTCAAATCTTAACTGTTCAAGTAAACAAAATGACATAATGAGCAGTCTAAAACTCGCTATCTGGAACGCTAACGGTCTTATGCAGAGGCATATTGAATTAACAGCATTTTTAATCTATGAAAATATAGACATCATGTTGATATCAGAACCACACTTTACAAGTAAAAACTATCACACCTTATCACACCATACCAAACTATACTGTACATAAAACCGACCATCCGTTTAATAAAGCACATGGAGTAAAGTACTTTTTGTATATCACCATATACGAGTCATTCTACAAACCGTACGTGCTTTATTTCTATAAGCTTTTTTGTTTCCGGGTGTTACACCACGTATCCGGTTGGCAAGTAACCCACCAAGAATGATTTAATCGATACTGCCTTAAATTTCGTCTCCTTTTGGATTGTAAGATAAGCATCCGAATCTTTTTAATTGATTTATTCCGAATCTGAAGTTTGGAGCTATTAATTTTATTGGGGCTTGCATGCCTAATGTTTTATGTGGGCTGATGTTGTAAATATAAGTGGCTACGCCTAGTGCAATGTCTCACATATTAGGAGGTAATCCTGAATCAAGCATCAGAGCTCTGACCTTTTTTTGTATTGTTTGATTAAAAAGCTCTACGCCATTGTGTTCGGGCGTGCCTGGGCAAACTGTCAGTAGCTGCGCGCCGAACTCCCTCAGAACCTTTACAGTATCTTTACTTGTGAACTCAGTTCCTTGATCGCATTCCATAAAACATACTTTAACATTCTCTCCGATTAGATTTCTAACTGATACAATCAATTCTCTCAAGCAATTAGACACGTCGCTTTTATGTTTAAGCGGGTACGTCCCAGCGTATCTTGAATAGCTATCTATAAAACAAACTATGAACCGATACTGAGCGGGATAAATCACTGGACTTATGTATCCCATAACATCCGCGTGAATTTTTCGCAGCGGGGCGCCTTCTCGATGTCTGACTTTGGTGAAGGGTAGTTTATTCATTTTTGCACGAAAGCATACGTCGCATTCTCTGATGCCTTCGTCAAAGTCAGAACTCGTGAAATCCTTTAAGTCTGGATATATAATGTTAAATTTTTGCATATACTGAGGAGACTTGTGTCCAAGTCTAACATGCCACAATAAGACAGTATTTAATTTTTCTCGCCTTTCAGTTTGTAGTCTAATTGCGCCTTGGACGTTTTCAACAGTCAGTTTACCAGCGTTAACAATTTTCCGGTTGTTAATGGTGCAAATTAACTTGTTTCGTGCCGTCGTTTTATCGTTTGAATTCTGACTAGTTTCCGGTTTATTTACGGTATTTTCAATTAATCTTCCACTTCCAGTCGCCAAATTAACTAAAATCTTTTTATGACCTTGATTTGATTAATTGAGATAATTTTTATTTAAGTTTAGTTTAATCTCCCAAAATGGTTTATTGTATTTTCCGGATATTATTATTTTCCTAGTGTTTGGATCGTATATGTTTACGCACTTATTATCCAGAAATATTTTTAATCCTTGATCCGCGAATTTACGCAATGATAATAAATTTTTCGCCAAATCCTTACAGTAAATTACATTATCCAGTTTTAATCTTTTGCCATCGTTTAACTCTAGGTCTATATCGCCTCTACCTTGTATCTCTAAATTAGCTTTCGAGTTTTTGTTCGCGCAATTTATTATCCCGCTTTTCGAGGAATCTAAGTTTTTGAATAGTTCGAGAGATTTTCCGTAGCTCCCGAGTCAACAATAAAATTTTCTATTTCAGTCCTCTCTTCATGTCCCTCCAAATCAGAATCTGATTCATCAGTTCCAGCTCCACCTACTAAGTGAGCTTTCGCCTTAGACTTAGTGTTAGTATTTTTAACGCCTGTAAACTTCGGTTTACCTTGATACTTCAGGCAAGGACGCTTGCCTTTGTTTGGTGCTCCAAAGCCTGGCCTGGGATGACCGCCTTGCGTGTCCATACGCTGACGTTTGTTTTCGAGTTCTATGGACTTGTTATGTGTCCTTTTGGATGGTGCCTTTGAAGCCCTGGGGCAGTTTTGCCTCACGTGTGAGGGGCTTTTGTATGTAAAACAAACGTTGGTGTCGAACTTGCATTGTCTGGAGTTGTGAGTTTTCTCGCCACACCTATAACACCATTCCTTAATCTCGCCATCTTGGTGAACTTGAGCTTACAAAGCTCGTGTGGTCATGGGTTGAACCTTTGTGGGGCCCATCTGTAAAACGAGTTTTCTTAATTTTTGATGATCACATTCGACACCTTTCACTTTTTCACTGACGCAGTCAGCGATCGTAACGCCAGGTACGGCGTCTTTAACTGAGTTAAAGAAAAGCTTTCGCTTATCGTCGTCTGGATATTTGCCTGATTTGCAATGGCTTTCGTATAGCCTAACCGTTTTCTCAAATCTATCGCAATACTGCCGTGCAGTTTCCCTTTTTGGATCAAATCTGATCGTAATAAGTTTTCTAAAAACCGTGTGTTAATCCAAATCGATCTCACCAAGCTTAGTATCTTTAATAAAAGCTAAAATCTCCTTAGAACTTTGATTATTCAAGTGAATAAAGTCGTTTTCATAATCGTTTATATTAATGTGATTAAAAATTATGTCTTTTACAGTATTTTCATCATGCTCAAGGACATCTCTACTGACCTTTTTCCTTTCCTCTTCATCAAAGACATAAAATAATTTTCTTGATTTTAATTCTGAGAACAAAGACGCCTCATATGTGTCGTAATTCATCTTTTTGGTTAGCAAGATATTTTTAAATATATTCGCGTTAAAATTCGGTTGCGTGTTAGTAAATTGAATATTTATTTTACTATTTGAGTTACCTACACATTCGTTCATTAAACTAACATTTTCTGAGACGTCTAGTGTTAATTGTTTCCTGACTTCACTAATAATGAGTTTGGTTATATCTTTAATATTTTTAATGTTACTCACTTGATCCTTGCATGAGTTTTTCGCCATAGGACTTAAAGGTTTTACCTGATGAGGGGTTGAAGCGGCCGAGGGACCGAAGCCGCGCTTCAGAAGTAGACTTGGGGCACCAGTTTTGTCATCCCCGCCACCGCTTGCCTCTGCTTCACCATCAGCCAGAGTCTCCTCAGTCTGCTTCTTCCTGAAGCTTGAAGCTGAGTCCCAGTCCTCCTCCAAGTCCGACGTGTTATCGAGATCCAATGTGTCTGTGCGAGAGATTTGCAGGGCTGGAAACTTTTCTGCGAACTTCACTCTTTTGTCGCCAGACAATTTAACCTCCTTTATCACTTTTGGTTTGGGTTTCCTCGAGAATTCTTCAGTATGGACTGTACTCGGGTTCGCCTCTTCCACGTCATCAATGTGTTGCGAAGGATCGTTTGCCAGTTCGTTTTCGCCAGATGTGCTTGATTTCTCGCCTAATTTAGCCAACATCTTTTCGAGTATGGAGTTTGTATTGTCTTGCGCCTTCCTTAAGTTACTCATATCCGCCTTCAATTCTTCGACACTCTTCTGGCAAGTTTCCGAGGTCGCCAGTGCCTTGAGTGCAGTTGATCTGGGAGAGAACTAAGCTACCGGAGGGGTAGGCAGCAGCTGTTTCTTCCGTATCATGATACCCTTGTTTTCAACTTGGGCTAACAGCCAACCTTGTAGAACAGGATCAAGAACGTCTGGATCTGAAAGAAGATGGCAATTAATACAATATTTATTTATTATTCTTGGCTAGAGTTAGAGGTTTTGCTGCTACTAAACGGATTACCGACACAATTATTCCGTTTGTAACGAGCAATGTTTTCAGCAAGCCTGGACACAAGTTAAGCATCTAACATTACCCTTAGTCTATTATCGTATCAGCACAAAGACACAATGTGACTGATAACGATAAAGACCCTCATAACTGTGCTCTTTGTGCTAGTCCGAGGAGTAACCACCAACCCGCTAAGAACATCAAGCCTTCAAGCTGATGCCAGTGTACTGTCACCAAAAATGTTGTAATATAAGACATTACCAAGTGACACTCACCAATCAAAATGATGTATCCGCCAGAAAACGCCAGACAGAGTACTGTCTCGCCATTGCCACGCATGATGTACACTTCTTCCGTGGGATTGATTTCATCAATTTTGTAGTGGTTGATTAACCGCTCCTTGGCCACTCTTATTTTGTTCTCTGTTGAAAGTCAGGGTTTAATTAGTTGTGTATTCAAATAATGTTTACGCGCACGCGCATAATCCTACACGCCTACACATACATATATGTTTCAGGGCCATTTGCCAAAAGAAAAAGGTTCAAAGTTTTTACGAACGTCTTTGTACGCTTCGCCAGCGGTATGCGCCGATCATTTTTAGAACGCTTCGATACGTTTTTTTTAATTGTGTGCGCGCGCAACTCGTCGCGTGCGCGCGCGACTCGTCAAGTGCGCGTACAATTTGTCGCGTGCGCGCGCAGTTCTTCCCGGCTCAGCCGGCTTGGCCATATTTGTTTCTACGCGTGGGCACAAGCGCGTGCTTTCCGCCATTTTAAAATATTCACAAAGCAACAGGTCGAGGCTTGTTGCATGACGTCACTCGCCCGGCTTTTCAGGAAATTCATTTTTAGGCGCGCGAGTTATGTCGACACTTCCGAATAAAATTCAACACGATTTTCGCGATCATTAGAAAAACCGCTAACCTGATGTTATGCTCGTTTTGCCTTTGGAAAGGCCTGTACCACGGCTGCCGTTTTGATCCTCCATCTTCAGCTTGGCACGCGGTACACGAGCAGTTGCACTAATAATTTCGCGCAGCGAAAGCGTGCTGGGCCCATAACCTGACGGAATAATGGGTTGGGCAGAGCAAATAAAGAAGACAAAGGATTCGCCAAAAAATGAATTTTTTTGGGGGAGTGCCTAAGAACACGTGCGAACGCTTACTACTAACTAAAGCTCAGAAGCAGATGGAGACCTAGAGTCAGCCCGCTCGTGAGAGCGGCGCGCAGGCGCAGATGCGACCGAAGTCGAGACGCTCACATACTTTGATATTTCCAACACGTTTCATGCCCAAAACTTCGGAAAAAATTACATGGTACGAGCCAACAGAAATGCCGACATCTTCAGCCACTTCTCTAATAGTGATTCGAAGATTTTTTAACACCATTTATTTCACTTCTTCAACACTTTCATAAATTATTGAATTTATTCAAATCCGGGGCGTCCAGAGCGAGATTCGTCGTCAGTATCTTCTTGGCCATCTTGAAAGAGCTTATACCACTTGTAAACATTTTTTTGACTTAAGGTAGACTCACCGTATACCACTGTCAATATTTCAAGTGTTTTGTAGCACTTAATTCCATTTTTTACGCAAAATTTTATGCAAATTCTTTGATCCATTGTTTTCGACGGCAGAAAATCGCCGAGTACAAAAAACACGTTTAACGTTTCTGTCTCACAAAAAAAAGAAAACATACGAACTGGCTGAAACTGTGAACATGTGTGAGGGACATGTATACCAACATAATAAAAAAAATATCGATGATCGAATCAACGTAGTCCGCCCAATTTAAAAATTCACCTTACTTTTTGAACACACCTCGTATTGGACAGTTTGATGTGAAATGATTTGTTGCACATCTTACACAAACAGGCAATCTATGGCAGTAGTTTTTCGTATAGTCGTATTTCTGACAAAGCATGTATTGGAGAATGTCTCTTTTTTTACGCGGAGGCTCGAAGGTAATGATTTGGTTCATTAATTTATTCATACCATATATTTCCTTCTTATTTTTATTTCTTTAGTTTAACTGAAAAATAGGTAAATCCTGCTTTGTTATTCTACGATTAATATTTGAAATCAAAATTACGCTATGGTTATACGATTAGATTTCTCTTGTAAGTTCTTCAAGATCGACCTACAGGTAAATGTTTATAAACACTGATTTCTATGATTCATTTTCTTTATTTTGAAATGTATAAAAGTCGATGTTTTTTCTCTAATTCAGTTATTGTTGGGGTAAAGACTTTCGAATTATCTATTTGTATTTTTATTTCATTATAAGGTAAAACTTCCAATGAGTATTCATTTTTCGCAAACTTGATCTAAAAGGGTTTTTAGGGTACTAATATTTAAAACGCCACTTACGAATATCAGCAGTGATTTTGCTGATTTTGAAGACTGCCTGTAATGTTAGTGTGTTTAAATTTTCAGTTTCCATATTTATGTTGCCTTTTTGTGACCTATTCTAGAAGTCAAGATTTGGGAACCCAATGTGATTCGAAATATAAATTGTATAGTAAATGAATTTTTGTGAATATATTCCGTTGTGCGAGCAAACAGCCTTGACATTTAGCCGCACGAACATTATTCACGAAATTAGTTTGGTCAAATATTTGGTTCTTAGAAAAGGGCTGGTTGATTCAGCTGGTCATTCGGTCAACAAATGAGGGTGAAGCTTCAATTTCTTCTTTGCTTCAAATCTGGCCACATGGATAGTTTAGGAGGTCTTGTGTTTTCTCTCGTTTAGTGACGAGTATATACTTTCTTCCTGTTCTTTCTCTCCCAATTGTCCCTTGAAGTGCTTTATCCGTTCTTCTTTTCCTATATTTTCGTCTAATCCAATTCTTTTCTTCCTATTGCCATTCACTTTCTCCCAGAATTTTCTTCTCTTCTTATCTGTTCTTATTTCTTCTGCCACTCTTTTCCCTTCATCTTCTTTTGCTTTTCTTATTTCCTTTCTGTATTCTCTCTTTGCTTCTAAGTATTTGCCTCTGTCTCCTTCCCCTTTTCTTACCTTATTTAACTCTGCCATCACCCTATCCCTTTTTGCCTTACATTCTTTTCTCCACCAGCTTTTTTCTTATCCTTTTTTTTTTCCTTATCTTCTTTTTTACAACTGCGTTCTTCACTCTATTTTTTATATCTTTCCATTTATCTGTTCCCTCTATTGCGTCTATCCATCTCTGATACTCCCTTATACCTTCTTCACTCCAGTCGTCTATCATTCTTTCTTCCTCTTCTCTTCTTTCTTCCGCTATTTTGTCTCCCAGTTCCACCTCTATTGGTAAGTGGTCCGACTTTACCCTCTCCTTTATTTGAACCTTTTTTATCGCCTCATCACCTTCCTCGTTACCTACTACATAGTCTATCGTTGACATTCCTCTCGCTCCTATATATGTTATTTCTCCCTCTTCATCTCCTTCTTTTCTCCCATTTGTTATCACTAAGCCCATTTCTCCTAGCCATTTTATCATTTCTTCTCCCTCTGCGTTTAACAATTTATCCTTGGCTTTAATTTCTTCTAGGTTTTCTTCTGTCTCCCATTCCCTTCCTTCGTTTCCTGTTCTTGCGTTGAAGTCTCCTCCTATAATTATTGTTTTTCCTCTGTTCTCCTCTATCTCTTCACTAAGGTATTCATAGTTTTTCTTCTTCTCATGTTGCATATACACCGATGCTATCATGTATTCCCTCCCTCCGATCTTAATTTCTCCTACTATTACCTCACTAGTCCTTTCTTTCTTCCATTCAACCTTATTCATCCCTTTCCTTTCTCTTACCGCCATTATTCCTCCCCCTATTTCTCTCCCCCTTCTTCCTTCTCTTCTTGAGTCCCTCCACTCTATGCTGTAACCTTTCAGTTGTTTCTCCACACCAGTTCTTGCCCCTTGCCTCTTCACCCAGGTTTCCGTTAGCCCTATTATATCGAATTCCCTAACATATTCCCAGTCGTCTTCCTCCATGCTCCTCACCCTTGCCACGTTCCAGAATAGTATTTTTACTGCCTTTCTCCCCTCTCTCTCCCTTCTCTTCTCTCTCTCTCTTTTATCCCTATTGTTTTCGAAACCCTTCCACCCCCTTTCCTACCATTTTTCCCTCTCTCTCGCTCCACCACCATTCTTCTTCCTCTGATTTCACCCCGTTGTGTCACATCTTTACCTCTTTACCTTTACTTCTTATTTCTTTCGCTTTCCTTCTTACTTCCTCTCTTATCCTTCTCTGCTTCCACGTCTAGTCCTGATCTATGTATATCTTTTTCTGTGCCAGATTCTTTTTCTTCTTCATAATTCCTTCTTTTTGTTCCCATGACGCGCATCTAATTTGCCACATGTTTTTTCTTCTTTCTCTCCGATCATCTCTCTCCGCTGTTCCTCCTATTCTTCTCAGATTCACTATCTCTCCTTTCATTTCTAGTACCTCCCTTAACCCGTTAACGTCCACAGGACACATTTTTTAAGTTTGAGTTTGAATTGTTACCTCGCAATGAATTCGAACTCAAATAACTTAAAACTAACCGTACCCTATGTTTTCGAGGGTGCTCTTTCGAATGGTGATGATCAGAAGTCGAAAAAAAGATTTCTAACCTCTAAAAAATCAAAATTAAAAAAAAACGTGATTTTGAAAAAAAAAATTTTTTTTTAAACTGATTTTCTGGAGACTATACATTTTTGTATCGGTCTAAAACCAGTTAGAATGGTGTCCTCGATATCTGAACTAAATGTTAGGATGATGACATTTATTTGAATAATTTTTCATCTAAGCAAAATGGCGGCCGGAATAAAAAAATTTTGTTCTAAACTTGATAAATTTTTTTCTCAGAAAGTATAGGTGTTAGCAAAAAATTTATAAGAATAAAAATATCTTAAAATCGGCTAAGAAATACTCTTAAATTTTTTCAAAACGTTTTGAAACAATTTTTGATTTTTGAAAAATTCAAAAAAATGAAATTTCAAAAAAGTTGAAAAAACATTTTGAAAAAATTCAAGAGCATTCCCTGATTAATTCTAAGATATTTTTGTTCTAATAAATTTTTAGTTAAACTGCATAGTTTTGAAGAAAAAATGTGTGAAATTGTAAAAAAGCACTTCTTATTTGTATAGTTGGATACAATTTAATCTTCATGCGTTTCAAATCAGTTTTTTAAATTATTATTTTGATAATTAACTGTCAACGTATTGTCAGCTTCACATAATATTATACTACTTTCAGAAAATATATAAAAGAATCTTTGTATAAAATGTAAAAATATTTTATCTTTACACTAAGTAGTTTGATGATTACTAAAGCTCTAAAAATTTTTTTTATTTCTTCATTGAGTTCGGAAACAATTTTTAGTTGTTTAGATAACTTAAATAATAATTTTTTATTGCATTATTACATATTCTTATAAGAAAATAGTAGAATTATTTTATTGTGAAGTCGGAAAAATGCCACCCAAAAAACGATCAAAAAATTCTGATCAACAATATGATATTGAAACCGAAGAAAATGACGAGAATTTTGATGTCATTATGATTCCCAGTTTAGACGATTCTCAAGATTTTGAGTCTGATTCAAATTCAGAAAATGAAAATGCTCACATTGATGTATTCTCATTCCTTGAAAATCTTATACCTACTACTTTATACAATCAACTTCTTAATAGCTACTCGGAAAATCAAAAGAAGTTAGAACCAAACCATGTTTATGAGTGGTTGGATGGCGAAAAAGTTTATGGGGAAAAGTTAACAAGTGAAGTTTTTCTTTCAGAATCTGATGGTAAAAAGATCCTCGATTATTCTCTGACTGATTTGTTTGAATTATTTTTTTCTGATGAATTAAAGGCATTTATAGTAGAAGCAACAGTATGCAATGGTGGTGATCTTACTCTACAAGACTTGAACACATTTTTAGGAATTATTATTTTATCGATCTTTAATTCAAGAAAAAGTCAGAGAGATTACTGGTCAAATAATCCTTTTCTAGTCTGCGAATGTGATTAGCCATGAGTCGTCAAAAATTTGAAAAAATAAAATCAGAAATAAAGCTATCAAAAAATGAAGACAAAAATGCAAATGATAGAGCTTGGCGTATACGTGTTCCTTTAGATATTTTTCGAAAAAACTGCCAACAATTTGCCATTTTTTCCACAGCTTTATCAATTGATGAATGTATGATCAAATTTTATGGTAGGACAGTCTTGAAGCAGTTTATGAAAGGTAAACCTGTACGTTTTGGTTTGAAACTGTGGGCTATTTACAATAAAGAAGGATTTATTTTTGATTTTGATATATATTATGGGAAAGGATCAAACCATCTCCCTTCGAAGCAGTTAGAGAATTTAAGAAATTGTGCTTTGGGTAGCCGCGTTGTTCTACAAATGCTCCAGAGGCTCCTAACAACTGTGTCACCAAGAAAGATCAGTCGTTATCACATTTATTTTGATAACTTTTTCAGTTCACCAGATCTTTTCGTTCATCTACGAAAAATTGGTCTTCGAGCTACAGGTACTGTGAGAGCAAATAGAGTAAGCGGAGTCACTATTGATCTTAATAATAAATCAAAGAGAGGAACATATTTTGTGAAACATGACAAAAATAGTGGTATCAACTACATATCAGTCTAATATTGATTAGGATAAACATAGGACTCTAAAATTGTCTCATTGCTCTCGACGGCTGCTGGCATTACTCCATTGTCTTCAGCAAAACGATATTCTAAAGATGAACATGGTAAAGTTGAAATACCTTGTCCTTATGCTTTCAATTTGTACAACAATTTTATGGGTGGAGTAGACCAACATGATTATTACTGTAGCAGTCTGTTGCCGTGTATTAGGTCGAAAAAGTGGACTCGGGTAGTTTTAATGAGAATTATTCAAGGATCAATTACAAATGCCGCCGTACTCAAGAATTTGGTGTGTGGTAAAAAAGTTGTAACCATAAAAGACATTGCACTAGCTGTAGCATCAAAATACTTGAATGAAACCAATAATCGACAATCTCACACACACGAAAAAGTCATGGCAAAAAAGAAATGTTTCAACTTCACAAAATGTTCTAAAAGAACACAACAATTTTGCGTTGATTGCCAAAAATATTTTTGTTCTACATGTTTCCTTGATTTTCATAAATAATTTTATAAGTTTCAATTAAATCTAGTTATCAGATTTTATCCAAAACATTTAAGTATAAAAAAATTTGAATAAGGCGAGAAACAAAAAAAAATTAAAAAAAAGTAAAAAAACAAGGCAAAAAACAAAAAAAAGAAAATGTCTCTTTCTATTGTCGACCTCCCCGTGGTAAAAGATGGACAACGGTAATGTACCACCGCCGGCTAACAGGCATAACAATTAGAGAACCGAAAATCCCGTTGGTTCGGCCTTTTTATTTATTTGTTGCTCATTATTTTGAATATACAAATAAGTTTTTTTACAATTTCACACATTTTTTCTTCAAAACTATGCAGTTTAACTAAAAATTTATTAGAATTAATCAGGGAATGCTCTTGAATTTTTTCAAAATGTTCTTTCAACTTTTTTGAAATTTCATTTTTTTGAATTTTTCAAAAATCAAATATTGTTTCAAAACGTTTTGAAAAAATTTAAGAGTATAGTATTTCTTAGCCGATTTTAAGATATTTTTATTCTTATAAATTTTTTGCTAACACCTATACTTTTTGAGAAAAAAATTTATCAAGTTTAGAACAAAATTTTTTTATTTCGGCCGCCATTTTGCTTAGATGAAAAATTATTCAAATAAATGTCATCATCCTAACATTTAGTTCAGATATCGAGGACACCTTTCTAACCGGTTTTAGACCGATACAAAAATGTATAGGCTCCAGAAAATCAGTTTAAAAAAAAATTTTTTTTTTCAAAATCACGTTTTTTTTTAATTTTGATTTTTTAGAGGTTAGAAATCTTTTTTTCGACTTCTGATCATCACCATTCGAAAGAGCACCCTCGAAAACATAGGGTACGGTTAGTTTTAAGTTATTTGAGTTCGAATTCATTGCGAGGTAACAATTCAAACTCAAATTTAAAAAATGTGTCCTGTGGACGTTAACGGGTTAACCAGACCTCTGCCTCACCCTTCTTTTCCCATCTTAACTCACCCTCTAAGTCTGTTACTCCTATATTGTTTATCCTACTTTCTCTATCCATTTTTTCTCTCATATGCTCTAATTCTTCCTTATTGCCTACTTCTGTTCCTCTTTGCTTCTTGTTTCCTCCTTCTATGCTTTCTTTTAGTTTCACGCACTCCTCTTCCAACTAGTCCATCCTCTCTCCCCATTTTTCCTGCAGTTTCTTTTCTCTACGTTCTGCTTTTTCCCTTTCTTCTTTCGTCTCTTTCTTTCTTTCTTCTCTCTCTCTCTCTCTCTCTTGTTCTTTCCTAACTTTTCCTATTTCCTTCTCCCACCTTTCTTCTCTTCTTTTCCCCTCTGCCTACATTCTTTCCATTTTTCCCATTATTTCTTTAAACATTTCTGTCCATTCTTTCCTTTCCTCCTCCCATACCTCTCTTAATTCCCTTATGTCTGTCCGTATCTTTTCCATTATTTCTTCTGCACCACTACTTTTTCCCACTTCTCTTATCGTGTTGTCCAATCCTTCTCCCCCCTCCCCATCCATCTCGCTTCCCTAGCTCTCACTCTTGCATCTCTTTGCCTCTCTCATTTCTCCTCTATTATTCTCCCTCAGCCCCTCCCCGCTCTCTCTCCCCCTCACCACTTTACTAATTTCTTCTTTTCCTCCTCTGGGCCTTTCTTATCCAACCTTCCACCTTTATCTCTTAATTTTTCTGTTGTCACAAATCTTTCCATCCTATCCCGTACACCTTAATTCGACTCTCTATAACTACCCGTGATCCCACCTTTATTCCCTGTCTTACCTTTTCTGTCTCTGCCTTTACTTCTTACCGCCCCTCCTCTCTGCCTGCCTTTCCGCTTTCTGATTTTCTCTCAACTTTTATTTTTTTTCTTTATTCCTTTCTCTCTGCTTTTTCCTGCTCTTCTCCAGGCCTCTCTCTCTCTTCTCCAGTCCTCCTCCACCTCCACGCTCTTTTCACCTCTATTTCTCTCCTCAAACACTTTTTCTCTTTGACTTTCTCACCAAAACTCGCGCTCACATCCAAGACACGTCCACAATCCCCTCGAGTGAAATCTAACCCGAATATAATTAAAATTAAGTAATTTTCCATCTATCACTATTTCCCTTCTTTCCATCATTACAAAATTTATCATTCATTATAATTACTCTTACTTTTTAAAGTAATTTGTTCTAATAAAAAAAAACTTAACCTTGATGCCGAGACGGTCTTTTATATTGGTGATTTTACAAAAAATACGGTAGTACTTTTTTTATAGGAATATTGGTTGAAGCTCGATAGATTAAAAGATTTAGATCCTTCAACTTCTTAGTTTGAGACGGCATGTCTGGGAAGATATGACATTACACGCAACAAAAATCAAGATATAAATGAATAAAATATACAGCAGCGTATGTTAATAATAAAAGTTGTTTATCATACTCTTATTTGTCTACGTAACGAAAAACGTGAATCAGTCACAAGTCATAGAACAATTAAAAGAATATCGATAACATAAAAATATTATAGATTCTATGATATTAAATAAATTTCATTTCTATGAAATGTTATGAGTTTTACATTATACTTTAGATTATAAAGCATGTGAAATGACATCAATAATAGAATAAAAGTAAATATTAAACAAGCATCAGTGATTGAAAATTTACACGACGTAGAGGCCCTCCCTAAAGGCGTACTTAGATTTCATTTATATCAAACAAAATTTACTTTTTGACAAATTAAAGAACATCCTAATTAGTTTAAGATTAAAAGAATGTAGAATGACTATGAATATTAATGTGAATTACAAAATATTAATATATAAATTCACTACGACATACATTTAAGGGTAGTCATATAAGAAATAAAAAGAGAGAGAGAGAGAAAGAGTAAGGAAGAGAGCCAGACAACGCAGCAATATATTATCGTCAACCAGACAGTTAGTTTCATTTTGTTTGATTTCTTTTCGACAATTTCTCGATAGCTGAACGACTTCTTCCACTTACAGTAAAAATTTATTTCACAGAAAGTACTTACTGACACTCATTCATTATTTCCTCCTGAGTTCGAACTTGTACTGGAGCCAGAGACTCTACATTGGTACCATAATCTTTAAAACATGATGTTATTTTTTCATCAAATGTATTAACTAAATCCTCAAGACTTCCACTGAAAGGACTAAATGCTCCATCATGAATAGTATCTGTATTATCAGGAATTCTAGATGTATTGCAATTCGGACTTTCAATGTAATTGTTGCCAATATTGATGCCTACTAATTGATCTGAAAAAAGGATTACATTTCATAAATAAACTGTAGAACTCGAAAGTTAATATTAATAATTTTACTAAAAAAACAAAATAAAATTGCTGCTAATTATTTCTAACATTGAACAAGCGTTAAATTTAGATTATTGTGGTTTCTATTGAAACCATTATGTGAATGAAATGATTTTTATTTAACAAGGGGAAGCAGGGAAGGCAGGGGAGGCAACATCCCTCTCCGATTTTCTTGAAACCTTACACATCAGTAGATTACCGAAAAATATTAAATACGTTTTTTTTAGCTGCTGATAAGATGATTAAGGTGATAAAAACTATCCCTAAAGTTACCCCTAGATATTACCATGAAAACATTTTTACAGATATTTTCACTTCCAATCAATATTGTTGAACCAAATAAAATTATTTTTATTAATCAAATAACCAACAACGCAATAGTAAAATCAAGAGTTTGCTACCCTTATTGTAGAAAAATCGTATTTTATCAAGTATATTTTCTAATACGGTGCATTACAAGACTTTGCCTGAGTGTTGCATTACTTGTAACACTTCAGGGAGCCACCCCATCCTTTGCCGCTCCGTACCCAGCCGAATAAAATTGTTCTACTCACATCTTAATATAAACCCTACTTTATTTTCAAATTCGCCCACCCACGCCTGAAAAAATGATGCAACAAGACAAAGCGCACGATCCAACAGATTAGTGAAAAATGGAGCGCACAACGAAAAAAAGGAAGTGCACGCATACACACACTCCCGACCACGTGTTGCCGGCTGAAGGAAAGCACATGGGAAACGACTGAAAAATGCAACAAAAATGCATGCGAGGGAAACCAGCGGACACGTTACACATCCAGGCACTAGCACAGATATTCTGGGGAAGCTGTCATACCTGGGGCGACCAGAAAATTCCTGATGAAGCGACAGCCGACAATCAGCTGTGTCGGGCTGCTGCGCACCATCGACAAGACCCTGAGTGCCAGACACATTACTGCTGACCACTGGCGAACACCTGGATGCACACACACAACACATGACCGAGGGGGAGCGCTTCAGGATGCGCTCCAGAGACCGACAGCAGAGCATGATGTAATCACGCGAGACTAAGGGCGGACATTTTGAGACGCCGAGGTAGACTGAACGGGAGCGAGTGAGACAGACTAGACGAGAGCGAGCGAGACAGACTAAATAAGAGCGAGCGAGACAGACCATATGAAAGTGAGCGAACTAGAAATTAAATACAATACTAATTCAAAAGCAAACTCGATGATGCGGGCGCTGAAAAAATGAGACCAACTTACGACTTTTATATTATATGGCAAAATCAGTCAGTGTTTGATCCTTGAGCAGAGCAGACGTATTTGTAACGGATCTCTGCTCGAAAATCAAAAATACCAACCAATCAAGTGAAGAGAAGTGTCAGTTTATTTAAATTTACCTCCTCATTGTTATAACAATAACAGAATAACAGCCAAATAGCCACTCAGATAGGGGACACAATGTCTACACCTACACAAAACAACACCGAAAAATGGACAACTATAAGTGTAAAAAGACAACGAAGTAGCCCAGAAACTCAAGCTCCAAACAAAAAACGACAAGCCCAACTATCAGATTACTGGCTGAGTCAATCTACTAATAGATACGAAGTTCTTCAGGATAAGCAATTTGCAGATACGAACTCGGTAAATAATGATATGAACTCAGTAATAATTTAATCACTTCCGATCTTTGTGTATAATGTAAAAACATTCGTTTGTTGAAAAAACTGCTAAACGAAATAGCCAAAGATAGCTATATTTTGAAAGTATTGGGACAAAAGAAAATAAAAATTCAACCAACATCATCTGAAAAATACCTACCGATAATAAATGGATTAAAAGAAAAAAACACAGAATTTTACACATATCAGCAAAAAGAAGAAAAAGAATTTTAAATGATATTGAGAAGTACGCATTCGTCGGTTGATATTGACAATTTGAAATCTGCCATAGAGAAACAGGGATATAAAGTACTAGGCATTTGGAATATTCGGCACCGCATAATAAAAATACCACCACCATTATTCACTGTAGAAATCAAACACGATTACAAAAGCCAGAAAAGTTTACAAAATGAACAAACTACTCAACACTGTGATTAAGTTTGAACTGCCAAACGTTAAAAAAGAAATACCGCAATGTCATAGCTGTCACGAGTATGGGCACACAAAAAACTATTGTTTCAAAAGTGCAGTATGTGTGAAATGTGCTAAACAGCATCCAGTGGAAAAGTGTACGATAAAGGAAAAAATCAAAGAAGTAAGAGGTGCAAATTGTCAAGGTAATCACACTGCAAGCTAAAAAGGATGTCCAATACGTAAACAGTTGCAGCAAAAATTGTATCCAAGACTAAGAGATAAAATACTAAAACAAAACAATAGACAAGTTCAGTCAAATTCAAATTTAAATACCAACGTTAATAGAGTTCAACTAAATATAACATACGTACTGATAATATCAAAACAAAACGCTCAGAGTAAAATAGAAATATCAAAACAAACAGCTGTTCAAGCAGATGTAAGTAATCACACGAAATTAACACAAATAATAAACTCGATAAACTCGCTGATATGTTAGAAAACATGACACTCAGAATGAATACATTAGTAAAACTAGTAACTGTACTTGTTAATAAATTATCTGAACAATGAAAAATTTGAAAATAGCTATCTAGAATGCAAATGGGCTCATGCAAAGACACCTCGAGTTAAAAGCATTTTTAATTAACAAAAATATAGACATCATCTTAGTATCAGAAACTCACTTTACACGTAAAAATTTTCTCTCCATTTCAAATTACATAGTACAGAAAATAAATCATTCACTTGATAAAGCACATGGAGGTACTGCAATCATTATCAAAACCAAAATAAGTCATCACACCTAAACACACACCAGTGAGATTTACCTGCAAGCGACTAGTATAAGTATAAACGACAATAAAGGCCCTATAACTATAACAGCTGTTTATTGCCCTCCGAATAAAACAATAACAAACGAAAACTGGACAAATTTCTTCCATTCCCTTGGAAATCGATTTATAACAGGAAGCGATTATAATGCCAAGCATCCGTGCTGGGGTTCAAGATCACTGTTACGTGATGTTTTATTATGTTACAATTATATACTATCGAATAATATTTTGCTCTCGGGATTTCCATTCGGACATAATATAGCTAGCAGTATTCGTGTGCGCGACTCGGTGGGAATGAGCGGCAGAGGCTGATTCACGCTGCGTCAGCATGCTGCAGTCAGCGTGCTTAACTAGCTAAGACGAGCCGCTACGAGAAGCGTAAACGTCTAAAGCATATGCGCGAGAGAGAGACGATATGCAAGGGACAAAGGCTATATAATAAACCGGCGAAAGCAGAGCGAGAGAGAGAATTAGTTAGTTAGGAGCGAGCGCTCAATTAAGAAGGCTGCATATTTTTCCTACTGAAGTTAAAACCATAATAAGAGTTTGAGAATATAATTATTTGAGTTGCGATTAAATATTAGAAGTGTCGAGTACAATTGTTTTAATAATTTTGTGTAAACGAAAATCATAGGAATTATCATTTTCTTGCGTGTTGCTACACTATTGGATAAAGAATATATTGGACAAGTTGATCATAGGAATTATCATTTTCTTGCGTGTTGCTACACTATTGGATAAAAAATATATTGGACCAGTTGATCTAATCAGATTCAACGAAAAAGTGATTGGCCACATCACGAAGCGAATAATATTTTGGACCAGTATTATATTTTGTAATAGGCTGCCGTTTAGTCTATAATACCTCTGGATCGTATCTATATAATTACTAAGCGACGCCTAGTTATCTATGTGCTCGAAGCACATCAACCTACCTTGTTTCGGAGTGCGCCTGCGCAGAGTCTCTTCGCTACTCCGAGTTGGGTTCCCCCAACTCTCCGCTTGGCGGCGCTGTCGCCTTTGCTTAGTGGCGCTCGCGCGGTCGCTGCTGGAAACTCTGTTGACGATTCCCGCCTACCAGTATCCGCGTGATCCGTGCTACGCTACCGGCGAATTCGAATCGAATGTAAACAAATATAGACGCGACCTCCGGACAAAGGAAAGACACAATAACGACTACTTGATTTAAAGATGACGATTAACTGATTTATTCAACAAAATCAAATACACGGGGGATCTGCCGAGAGTCTTGCGCACGCTTGCGCGAATGACAATACACGCCGTATGAGAGAGAGAGAGAGAAAACCGCGATCACCGCGAACTAACCGCTCGCGCGCAACAAACAATTTCCTCGCGCACGCTGCGCGGGATCGCACGCTATTAGCAACAATAGAAAGGGGAAGGTGCACCTACCGCGAAAACGATGAGGATACGGTGGCCAACCGTATCCGAACAACAAACTGCTGAAACGCCGCTTCGCTGCTCGCCGCACCGCCGCGGTTACTGTTGCTGCTGTTGTTGTTGCTGCTGTCGCTGCTACTGCTGTTGCTGCTATTGCTGCTGCTGCTATTACTGCTGCTACTATTGCTGCTGCTGCTGCACCCAGCACACCGCACCAAAGTTCGCACCTCTAAGTTCGCACCACCACACGAAAACTTAGAACGGCTCGGGAACAGGTTAGCTGCACGATACAGGCGGACTGAGTGACACAGTCATACTGCTTGTTGAACGCTCCCCTCCCGGTCATTGCCCCTACGCGCCCTCTCTCTCTCGCGAACCGATCGCGGCTTTTCTCGATCAGCCGCTCATTAACCTCGCGCGAGTCGAACGATTTTCGCTAATCGTTGCAATTTACAATATTAATACAAAGTGAGTAATACTTTTTATGTAACCAAAAAAATAATAGACATCACGACGCGAAAATTACGCGTCTGAGAATATATATATATATATATATACACATCTCTATTCTGCTTAACTTATTTATGTTGTGAAAGAGACTAGAATAAATATTATAATTATAAACACCTATAAGTGTATCCATAT